ATGATAATTGGACGTGAGACTGTTAATATTGTTAGCGCTTATGCGCCGCAAGTCGGGATAGAAGCCAGTCTTAAGGAATTATTTTGGGAGGATCTGGAGGGGTTGATTCGACACATACCACAGAGTGAAAAGATTTTTATTGGAGGAGACTTTAATGGGCATGTCGGGAGGGAAGCTGGTCAGTATGCGAGGGTGCATGGTGGTTTTGGTTTTGGAGAGCTAAACAATGAAGGGCAAACTCTTCTTGATTTCTCATTGGCGTATGATTTTAAGATTGCCAACACTTGTTTCAAGAAGAGAGATGAGCATCTCATCACCTACAAAAGTGGAGCCTCAAGGTCGCAGATTGATTTTCTTTTGGTTAGGAACACAGATAGAAAACTTTGTAAAAATTGTAAGGTGATCCCTGGAGATGCTGTAACGACACAACATAGGGTCCTAGTCCTTGATGTGTGTATTATGAGTAAAATCCAAAAACGTCGACAAGTAGTAACACCAAGGATTAGGTGGTGGCAATTAAAAGGTGAGAAGCAAGATATTTTCAAGCGAAATCTTTTGGATAAAGGAATTTGGGATTCTCAGGGAAGTGCTAACATCATATGGGAGGATATGGCTAAAAAGATACGGGAGGTTGCAAAAGTAGTTTTGGGAGAATCGAAAGGTCCTGGTCCGAGAGATAAGGAGTCTTGGTGGTGGAATAATAGTGTACAGGACAAAATCAAGTATAAGAAGAACTGTTTTAAAGCCATACATTTGTGTAACAATGAGGAAAATTGGGAGAGGTACCGTATGGCTAAGAAGGAAACTAAGAGAGCTGTGGGTGAAGCTCGTTCTAAAGCTTTTGAAGAATTTTATAAGAACCTTGAGACGAAGGAAGGAGAGCAAAATATTTATAAGATTGCCAAGAGTAGGGAAAGAAAATCAAGAGATCTAGAACAGGTAAGGTGTATTAAGGATGAAGAGGGAAGAATTTTAGTTACAGATGATGAAATTAAAAATAGATGGGAGACTTATTTTTCTAAACTTTTCAATGATGGAGAGGATTCATCTAGTAACTTGGAGGATTTAGTAACTGGTGAAGGAGAACAAAATTTGTCATTCTATCGAAAAATACGTGATAAGGAGGTAAAGGAAGCTCTTAAGAAAATGGCAAATGGTAGAGCTAACGGACCTGATTGTATATCTATCGAAGCGTGGAAATGTTTAGGTGAAGAAGGGGTGAGATGGTTAACTAAGTTATTTAATGTGATTTTACGGTCCAAGAAAATGCCTGATGAGTGGAGGAGAAGTACATTAATTCCTATTTATAAAAATAAAGGAGATATTCAGAATTGTACTAACTATAGAGGGATTAAACTCATGAGCCACACAATGAAATTGTGGGAGAAAGTAATTGAGCACAGGTTGAGATTGGAGACAAGTATTCTGAGAATCAATTTGGTTTTATGCCAGGTAGATCAACTACAGAGGCGATTTATCTACTAAGGGGATTAATGGAAAAGTATCGTTGTAAAAATAAAGATCTACACATGGTTTTTATTGATTTGGAAAAAGCTTATGACCGTATACCAAGAGAAGTGCTTTGGAAAGCGTTGGAAAAAAAGGGAGTACGGATTGCTTATATTAAAGCCATACAAGATATGTATGAGGGGGTAAAAACTAGTATAAGAACGCCTAGTGGTCAAACAAAGGATTTTCCTATAAAGATTGGGCTACATCAGGGATCATCTCTGAGTCCTTATTTGTTCAACTTGATTTTAAATGTTTTGACGGAACATATTCAAGAGGAAATCCCGAAATGTATGCTCTTCGCGGATGATATAGTTCTTATAGCAGAGACAAGAGAAGAGGTTAATTGCAAACTTGAGTTATGGAGGAGGACATTGGAGTCGAAAGGTTTTCGTCTGAGTAGAAGTAAGACGGAATATTTATATTGTAAATTTGATAAAGGACTATTCGAAAATAATTTGGAAGTGAAATTGGGAGATCAAATTATACCTCAAGTGGAAAAGTTTAGATATTTGGGAGCCATTATCCAAAATGATGGCGAAATCAGTGGAGATATTTCACATAGAATTCAAGCTGGGTGGTTTAATTGGAGAAAAGCTAAAGGAGTTATTTGTGACCGTAAGGTGCCTAATAAACTTAAAGGAAAGTTTTATCGTACTGCTATCAGACCGGCAATGTTATATAGTAGTGAATGTTGGGCTCTAACGGGACAGCAAGAGCATAAAGTTGGAGTAGCAGAGATGAGAATGTTACGATGGATGTGCGGACATACACGTAAAGATAAAATTCGAAATGAGCACATACGTGAAAAAGTGAGGGTGGCACCTATTGAGGAAAAAATGGTAGAAAATCGGTTGAGATGGTTTGGGCATGTACAAAGAAGACCAAGGGAGGCACCAGTGAGAAGAGTGGAACATATAACTTTGAGTCCGATTAAGAGAGGTAGAGGAAGGCCTAAGAGAACACTCTTGGAAGTTGTTGAACGTGATCTCTTAATTAATAATATTTCTAAAAGCTTAATAAATGATAGAGCACAATGGCGTCTTGCAATCCATGTAGCCGACCCCACCTAGTGGGATAAAGGCTTGTTGTTGTTGTAATATTATTTAGCCAAAAAAAGTTTCATTTAGATTAGCATCATGCGCATTCTAAAAAATAAAAAAGCATATTACAATGATATGTTTCATTACTTATTGAATTACGTGTGAAGTGAAACATGTTCAAACATAATTAAAATTAAAACACATTAAATTAAATTCCTAACTTTTACTATCGCATGGGGAGCTAATACCTTTAGCAAATGTTACATTACAACAAAATACATGAAATCATTTATCCATTGCTTACACATAACCATTAATTGACTTACAGAAAAATTCAAAACTTCTTTGTAAATCATATTTGATGTAGTGTATTTTCGTTTGTAATCACGATCTTTTAGTAGTATCTTCAATCCATCCATACTTCTAACCATGGATAGTGTAATTGTAACATATAATTGATTATATGTGAAGATTGGCTTAGAAATATAATTCAAGATGATGCAAAAATTAATCTTGACTTTTATTAATAGTCATGGCAAATGAAAGAGTTATCGAGAATTGTTTTCATCTAATATGAAATGATCATATATTTTTAGATGAATTCCATTCAAAAATAGCATTAATGGCAAGTAAATAATAACGAAGCATGGAGCATTGTGCTAAGGTTATTTATTTTTATATCTTATTAAGAAAGAAATTAATAGTTCATACTCCTTCCATCCCAAATTATAAGATACTTTTAGAAAAAATGTCACATATCAATAAAGCTCATTAAATATACATTACAACTTTACTTTTTTAAAACAAAAATATAAAATTTTAAAATGTCCTTCATTTAATACTTTATTGATAAAAGAATATTGAAGAAAGAGAACGTATAGGAAGGGTAATAATAAAAAAGCATAATTAATGAAATCTTATTTTTATCAAAGTATCTTATATTTTGAAATGCTTAATCCTTTTTAAAAGTATCTTATAATTTAGGATAGAGAAAATAGTAAATAAATATTAAATATTATAAATGAAAGAATATAAAGTCCCAAACAAAGCATCATATTGCAAGCCATTTGGACTTATATGTGAGAAGTGTCACCTTCAAAGTTCAAGCACCATAGCATCATAGGGACCCCAGCAGCCCAGCCCATGATATTAAGGAAAACGAATAACATATCATTTAGTTATTAGCATGCATTGGTCCTAATAGAAGGGATTATAATCATACTCAAGTATATATGAGATTTCAAGTTCAAGTATATGTGAACGTAAAAATCATAATATAAGTGAACAAGATGCCAGCCTCTCCAAAGTCAAGGCTTCAGGTCGTCTTCAAGCTGTCTAAGCTTGCCTCTTGGCTAATCCTCATGTCCATAATGGATCCCCCCACACACGGAAATGGTTTGATGAAATCTAGGCAGTCTAAATTTTATAAATTTTATTTTTTTTATTTTTATTTTATTTTATAATAAAAATTTACTGAATCTATTTTATTATCACTTTAAACAATATAGATTTAATTTGAATGGTTTAATTTAATATTAATTTTTTTTAAAAAAATTATAAATTAACTAAGACTGGATTCAAAGTATATTTGGATAGTCAATTTATAATTTTTTTAAAAAATTAATATTAAATTAAATCATTTAGATTAAACCTTTGTTGTCCAAATTGATAATAAAATAGATTTATTAAATATTTAAATTTTATATTTTAATAAATATATAATAAAATACAAAATAAAATGGATAAATTTGGACTGCCTAGATTTACAATTAAATAGTCTAGATTGCTCATTAAGTGATGAGCATTCTGCAATTGTGACTTTCTGCACCTTCAATGTGGTGATGGTATTTCCATGATTAATTTTCATTGTTTTTATGTTTTGCTTGTATTTATCATCGTGTGCGGTCGTTTCTTGTAATAATTTCACAAGTATTGTATGATTCATGATTAATGAATGTTTATTTATTTCAGTGACACCAATGACAAGTCCAAATTGAGGGAATTTATGATAGTTAAATCCTGACAAAAATTTTTAAAAATGAGTTATTAGAGGCTTAATAATGCTGTCACATTTTTTTTTATTTTTTATTATGTACTAGTATATAAGAATCTTTTTATTAAAAGTAACTGTCACATTTATTATTAAAAAGACTTTGAACATCTTAGGTTGTTGATGGCTCGATAAATGATTCCATTACCATCGGAATTTAAACGATGAAGCAGGCCGACCATGTGTTGTGAGACCAAGACTCTCCTACGCAGCACGCCTTCTAGATTAACCTCGGAAAACCCAAATCCGCCATTTCTGACAAATCTCCCTCTTCGTCAACAAAGTTGAAAACACAAAAAGTATGTCGATGAAAACAAACACAACAACCTTAATTTGTGAAACTTCATCACCTAACCTCAGTTATCCAGTCCTTATAAATACGTGCCATACATCGTCTCATGAACCATATCACTGCTAGCTAAGCATAATCGACATCTAGCTACTCCGTACCTTCTCCTCCACTGTCCATTGTCATCGTCCTCACTTCTCAACATTAAATACTCATCATGGGCGTTTTCACTTTCTCCGAAGAGAACATCTCCGCCGTTGCCCCTGCCACGCTTTACAAGGCTCTGGTCTTTGACGGCGACAATCTCATCCCCAAGGTTGTTGACGCCGTCCAGAGTGTCGAGATTCTCGAAGGAACCGGTGCCCCTGGAACCATCAAGAAGATCAACTACCTCGAAGGTCCATTTCTTTAATCAGTTTAAATATAATCTGTCTATGAATCTTTAGCATTGAGAGATTTCAGAGGATTAACGTGGTATCTATGTATGCAGGAGGACAATTGCACTATGCGAAGCACAAGGTAGAAGCCGTGGACAAGGACAACTTCGTATACAATTATACCTTGGTAGAGAGCGACACTTTCCCTGAGACATTGGACAAGATCGTCGTTGAGACCAAGTTGACGGCTGCCCCTAATGGCGGATCCGTCGTTAAGGTGACCGTTAATTACGTGACAAAGGGAGATGCCAAGCCTAGCGAAGAAGAGCTCAAGATTGGGAAGCAGAAGGGAGATGGACTTTTCAAGGCTGTGGAGGCTTATGTGTTGGCCAATCCCTCTTACAACTGAAGGAGCTGGTGTCAAACCATGATAGATTATAATATGGTGGTCCATATATATATATATATATATATATATATATATCTTAGCCTTGATCACTAATATGATCTTCCATTAATTAATGAAGTTTATGTAACTTTATGGCTAATTAATTTGGTTTCCACCATATGTGCGTCTTTTGTATTGGCTGCAAATTGATTTGTCCTTTCTCGTCCTTTTTCTTCTGAATTATAAATGTTTCGGATTTTTGGCACACAAGTATTTCATTTGACGATATTTGATGTTTTTTTTTATATTTTTTTTGGGGTAAACAGCTTGTTTTTTTTTTTTTTAATTTATGCATAGACTCTGATGTCTGATGGGATCTAATTAACATGTCTGCGTACATGATAATATATATAGTGATTTAATTAATTAAAACTAAACGTTACAAAACGACAATTTCATATTCTATTTGCTGTCAATACGGATAAAAAAAATACACCCCAACCCCACAGGAGAGCACTAATATGATACGTAGTTGATTATATTGAATCTATATATATTCGATTTTATCAATTCGTTGAACAATATAGCTAGAATAATTGTGGATTAAAAAATAATTGGTGGATTCCAATGAATGTACTCCTTCCGTCCCTCTATATATACATATAAAAGAGGATTTTTATAATCTTTTTTTTCTCTTAAATATAAGAAATTATTAACATATTTTTTTAATAAATAAACCATTATACCCTTATTACATTAGAAAAAAAATATAATTACTTATTAATTTACTTTAAAAAAGGTATTCATTTTTTATTTATAATAATTAGGAGTATAACTGAAATATTACTGTACTTTTAAATATATAACTAACCTTTATTACGCAAATTTGCATGATTCAATTAAAAATATCTTATATATAAAGACTCTCTTTGTTCCAAATTATAAAACAAAATTAAAAAAATTAAGTATATCAATAAAATATAATAATGACACGTTATAAACTTACTTTTTCAAAACAAAATTTTAAACTTAAAAAAAAATCTTTACATACTTAATCATTATGTTATAATATTATTTCAATTCTTTTTTTATTTAAAGGGTAATATTGAAAAGTTATCATTAATAATTTTTTTTAAATTTTTTTATATCTTAGAATAATAATAGATTCCAACTTTGTTTTGTAATTTGTAAATGGAAGGACTATGTCTTTGCAACACTCTTGAACAATATAGTTGGCTCTCCATAATCCGTATATATAAGCGACGTGCAATTAATAATTGATCCCTTAGAACAGGATCATGACGTAATGTAAAAGAGAAGAAAAGAAAAGTGGAATTTCAATAAAAACACCTTTAGATTGAACATATATTAATATCAATATATTAATATAAAATATAAAACTTATGATCATAAGTCGTTAATTATCTCTAATTTTGTATCATACACAAAAAATATATTTTCATGCTGGATACATAATGTCAAAAATAAGTTATAGTTTTATCAATAAGAATTGAGTCTAGTGAAGGAGACTAGCCTTTCATAACATGATAAATTAGGGTTTAAATTTTTATTAAAAAAGGTGCTCACATTTAATACCCAATCATGACCCGAACAAGATTATATCTAATAGAAGGATACCAGTAAAAAATCAAAAGAAAAAATAATTATAGTTTTTTATTTTTTTTTAACAGAAGTGTTTTTACTCAAGATAAAGCATTTGAAGGGCTAATAGTAGTATCGCTGTTGAAAGTAAAGCGATACTTTTCTTAAGGCGAAGATGGTGTTTATTCTTTGATAACTTTTGTCCTTCATGGTGGCCCCCCCCCCCCCCCCTTTTTTTAAATAAACGCCACCAAATTTATCAGTTTCTTCATTTTTCTTATATATTTTATATTAAAATTTCATGATGAATCTAAATTCAAATTTTTTTTATAAAAAAATGCTGGCATTTAACGGCTGATAATATATTAAATAATTTTTTAATAAAATAACACGTACAAAATAAATAAATAAATATTACTGCCAATGGTGTGAACCACATCAACTCACAAATTTAATATTTTGTCATCAAATGCACGTGGGAGGAAGCAATAGGATATAAAGAAGTTATTAAACCCAATAATTTAGATGAATAGAATATATTTGAGTTGAGCTCAATTTAAATTGATTTAAATAAATATAAATTTATAAAAAAATTTTGAATAACCAAAACTAGCCCGAATCTCTTTAGGCTTCGGGCTTATTCAAGCCCATCCGAATTATCAACTTTTAATTTAATTTTTATTTAAATTTAATTATTTTTATTTTATAAAAAAATATAAAATCTATATTTTTTAGGATAATTAAATGATGTAAAAGATTTAAACATTTTTTTTAAGAAAATTATGTGGGTATCAAAATTTAAAAATTATTATTAAAATATATTTTAAATATTATTTTAAGATATTTTATAAATTAAAAATTATAAAAATATGACAACATAAATATTTTTAATTTTTTAATAAACACCTATAATAATATACTCTAATATATGGTATCTTAATATAAAATGACCTAAAAGGCTAAAACTTAAAAAATAATTAATATTTAATATATATAATATATTTTAAAATGTAATCTCATTATATTCGGGCCAGTCCCAATATTTAAAAACATCATTTTACTAAGCCCAACTTTTTTTTTGTTAACCCAAATTACTGGCTCTAGAAGTTACGGAGAAAAAATTATTTTAAGAATTGAAATAAATTATAGTTTTCTCAAATTTAACTAAATTCTAACGTGTTCAATACAATTCATTTCTTTGTTTTTTTTAATGGGTACCTTTAAATCACTATACGAAGATTAAGAAAGTTGATTAATTGTTGGCAAAAAAGTGGTTGATTAATTTAGCTAAAAGCGGCACATGTGTCAATAATTGACTCCATTTTACTAAAAACATCTTTAATGTGAGATTATTCAAGTTAATAAAGGTGGAGTAATTAATAGGGGCATTTTTGTTAAAAATAATAAATGAGGTGAATAATGGCAAAAGGAATGTTATATTTAGAAACAAGTTAAAATTGCCAACAAAGGAAGGGGTAATATTTATTATTATTCTTTGACCAAAAAAACATTTATTATTATTACTTTGCGATAATTGTACAAAATTTGGTATTATTGATCCGGATTTAGATACAATAAATGACATAAATTCACTTATTTAATAAATATCTCATGTGGCACTGGCATGATAGCAAGTTAGCAACTGTCAATTTAATGAAATAGTTGTCATAGATTTTATTATATGATACTCAAAAGTACTAAATCTCACCTCTCACATTGGATCAAATCGCAAATTAGATCAGTAGTTCTTTTGAATTTTTGGAGGGGATGGTGTATGTAGCGTAAGGAATGATCTAATCGTGTGGTCGATTGTTCTAAATTTTAAAAAGAAAAAAACGTATCCTGATAGAATTTTTAAATATTGATAAAATGTAATAATAATTGTAATTGTAATTGTAATTGTAATTAAGATACTTGTTGTTGAATGAATGGATTTATAATACTCAATATCCAATTCTGGATCAGACCCCATGTTCTGGATAAGCACACTTAAGCCTAAAAAATATATCTGGAAAAAAAAAAAAAAGGAAACACAAAAAAGTGGGCATGTGATCGTCGGAATTAACAAAGCTGTCACATTTATTATCTTAAGATGAGGGGCCGAACAGGTTGAGTTCTTGATGGCCCAATAAATAATTCTATGGGAAATTAAACGGTGAGGGTGGACCATGTGTGGTGTGAGACCAATCAAGACCACTATACGCAGCCCGCCTTCTAGATAAATTTCTCCGAACCCAAATCCGCCATCTCTGACAAATCTGTGTCGTTGTCGACAACTTGGAAAACAATTCACTGTTTGTGTATAATGAAGAGTTGAAGACTAACCCAGCCAACCCCAACTAATCAAACTTTCACCGGTTTAATTCGGCTACCTAGTTACTATAAATATGTACCATATCCCGTCTCATGAACCATCCCTTTACTAGCTAAAGCAAAATCTAGCTAACAACCTCCTCCGGATCCATTGTCCGTTGTCATCGATCGTCTTCACCTTCTCAAGATCAAATCCTCATCATGGGCGTTTTCACTTTCTCCGAAGAGAATATCTCCCCCGTTGCTCCTGCCACACTCTACAAGGCTCTCGTCTTCGATGGAGACAACCTCATCCCTAAGGTTGTCGATGCCGTTCAGAGCATCGACATCCTCGAAGGAACCGGTGGCCCCGGAACCATCAAGAAGATCAACTATCTCGAAGGTCCATTTCTTTAATCAGCTTGAATCTATCTATCAATCTTTGGCTTTAAGGGAGTTTATTGAGATATTAATAACATTGTATCTATGTATGCAGGAGAACAATTGCACTACGCCAAGCACAAGGTGGAAGCGGTGGACAAGGACAACTTCGTATACAATTACACCTTAGTGGAGAGCGACACTTTCCCTGAGACATTGGATAAGATCGCCGTTGAGACCAAGTTGGCGGTCGCTCCTAATGGTGGCTCCGTCGTTAGGGTGACCGTTAATTACGTGACAAAGGGAGATGCAAAGCCGAGCGAAGAAGAACTCAAGATTGGGAAGCAGAAGGGAGATGGACTGTTCAAGGCCATTGAGGCTTACCTCTTGGCCAATCCCTCTTACAACTGAATATTATTAGATAGGAATAATATGATAATCCCTATATATAATATCTATTAATTCCTCCTTCACTAATAAGAGGTTCCATTTAAGGAAGTTTATGAGTTTGTCGTCAATTCATTAGGTTTCTTTTTCTTATGGTCCTTGTGTGCGTCTTTTGTAATGGCTGCAAATTGATATATCCTTTGTGGTCCTTTTTTCTTCCGAAATACAAAATGTTTTTTTTTTTTTTTGGAATTTTGAGGGAGAGCTGCTTTGGTGTGTCTTTGAGAGATCTAATTATAAATTTACGCCTACGTTTCTACCTAACAACTCAAATAAATCTAAATAAGTGTAGTGAGTTCAAATTAAACATTACTTAATGATAATTTCAAGTTCTAGCACCTAAAGTTCTATGTGAAAAAAATAACCTCAAAAGTCATGAGTTTACATACTGATGAGTATATTTCTTTTTTCTTTGGTGTTTTTTTCACAACAAAAAAATATAGGTGAGTTGGGTTTTAAAGACTTACTACGGCCAAAACATGTCAATGATCTTATTTCTTATTACTTATGCTCTTTCTAAATTGAAATATAAGTTATTTTTTAGAACATTTCTTGATTCAGAATATAGGGCATTAGATAAATTTTATATATTTTCATTTATACCTTTGTTTTTTTATTCATTGTCTTTAATTGCTTCATATTTAAAACCCATGTATGTATTTTTAGGAACTCTTAAAAAGGTATAATGGAAAGATATGGATATTTTTTAAAAAATTAAGATTTCAATTATTTTTTTTATAAATTATCAATTAATTAGCAAGTGACATATCTATTGTGGTCCAAATGAAGTAGGTCTTGATGCATGAAAAAAATGCTGCCAAGGGTTAATTTTGAATTCAAACAATAAGTCCAGTTTATCAATATATATTACCTAGAATTTAATTTTAGAGGATAATATATAGAAGAGGTAAGATTTTAATAAATTGGACCATTAAAAAAAATAGGATAAGTGGAGTTGAAAATTTTTAAGGAAAAATTATATATAGGTCCAACAGAGCATGTTTATTTTCAAATAGGTCTCATAAAATTTAGAAACCATAACTAGATCTCTTGAGGCTTGAATGTAATTTAAAAAGATAAAAAGAAAATAATGCCCATATCAAACATATATACATTACATCAGTCAAATAATTTGTAACTGTTTCATCAGTAATACAATTATAATTTTAATTTTTTACAATTATAACTTCATGCATCCAATAATTAAATCGATCAGTTTAACTATTAAATATGTAAAGTTATGGTTATATAAAATTAAAGTTATATTTGTAAATTATTAATGAAGTAATTGTAAATAATTAATGTTAAATTTTGTTAGTAACACATGACAGTTTAACTATTAAATACGTGAAATTATAGTTAAAAAAATTAAAATTATAGTTATAAATTGATGATAACATAGTTAAAAATTAATTATTTGATTGATATAATATATGTTTAATAAGGGTATTATTATTTTTACAATTTAATTTCAAATTATACTTAGGTTTCATGGGACTTAGTTATAGTTTTTGAATTTTGCGAGACTTATTATAAATAAATCTGCTCCACAGGACCCATACATAATTTTTCAATTTTTAATATGAATAAATTATGAAACAAAAGGATAAGTAAAATTAATTATTTTTACACCCTACTTTTTATTTTTTAAAGTCAAGTTCTTTAAAATCTTCTCTCTCCCTCATCTCCTAACTAAACATGGAGTAAAATTATAATAGAAGATAAATATTAAGTAAATATTGATCTGATAATGTTACAACAAATAATAGTGTTTAGAATAAAATGAAATTGTATAAATAATTAATATATTGTTTTAATTTTTATGATCCAAATAAAAAATGCAACTTTATTTTTTATAAATAATTTTTTTCCATATAAAAATGTAACTTTATTTTTAATAAAAAATTTTAAAAAAAAAATCGGATTAGATCCGACGGTAAAAGATTGTAGGTGTGGATTTTTTTTTGAGCACTAGTTAGCTCTCCATGGTCCACATAGAAATGACTCCGTGGAATTGACTAGTTCTTTTTTTTTTTTTTTTTGATAACCTGTACTAGAATTACATTTCAACTAGGAGGAGGGGAAAATAGAGGATGAAGGAATTGACTAATTCTTCTCTTGAGTCTTGAGTCATATCTCGAACCACATTTATCGACCCTTAGAGCGAGGACAATAACGTACTTTAGAAGAGAATAAAAGAAACGGGAGGTGAATATTCAATTTTTATAAAAATATAAAATTTATGACAATCTTTTAGCTTACCTACTGAAACGCCATACACTGGGGAAATATTTCTCATTAAAAATATAATTATTAATACATAACACTTATAATGTGTAAATAATCCTGTATTTACTTGACAATTTTGCGGAGTATCTTATGATCAAACAGGTTATAGTCAACTGTTTCTCTCACTAACTAATTAGGAGATTCATCTCTACATTAGGTGTTTGTATAATTAATGAAGAATTACCTTTCTTTTGGTAAAAAATAATTAATAATCAATTACTGAAATATGTCGTGCATTTACTATAAAGGAGAGGAAATAACTCACATCAATAAGTCATGTGAAAGGGAAAAAAGCAATCCGACTATTGTTTTGCCAATATCTGCCCATCCTTGTTGACCAAAATGGTCAAATAAATAATGCAATCCTTTTATAACATGTCAATTTCTTATTTTATTAATTAAATATGTAATTCGGACTTTTTTTAAAAGTTTTGCTTGATTTAAAATATAAGACATTATATAATTTTTATAATTATAATTTAAATTATACCTCTAATTCATTCATCACTTTTTAAAGCAATGATACATTAAAATTTTAATTATCATTATCAAAGTACTTATATAAGATATTTAATTGAGAGTAAAATTGAAAAGATACAATTTTTTTAAGAAATTAAAATTTTAATTAATATTTTTTAAAAATTATAAATTAATTATTAATACTCTAAATTTTGGTCTACAGAGAATAGTACAAAAGGAGAATGGGTTTGAGTGTACGCGAATTTATTTATATAGTGAAATCCGGTGCACATGTTTAGGAATTTGCATATGATAGTCTAATTCGTCTGCTCTTGACAGTCTATATTTTATGACACTTTCTATCATTTTATATATTCTTTGATTTACGAGAAATATTATAATGCAAAATAAATATAGTTTTTAAAATATGATTCTAATTTTAAAAGATCTTCACCATTGAATTGAAATTATATCTGAAACATCTGGAAGATACGTGCATACCTAGACGCTACTCTAGACGTGTAAAACGGGTATGCAATTCATGAAAATAATATATAAAAGTCTTCTATTTGATCACAACTAAAAGTAGAGTTAGATATAAATTGGAAATAATATATTCTTTAATAAAGGATTGTTTCTAATAAGATCAAACAATACCAAATTTAACTCGATATTATCAGATACTAGACGGCTATATAGAAAACAAATGTAGGTCTCTTCCCTGATCTTTATATATTTCTTTTAGAGTTGTAGAATGCAAAATCTGTTCATTGATTTGAACTATACGTGCGCCTATACCACGATACCGAAACTCCGCCCAGTACAGGGATATTAATTAACAAATAAAATTTACCTACTTAATTTCATATATTTAATATATTTTTAATTATTCAAATTAAAATAAGTAAATTGTAATATTTTTATAATATTAATAACAAGAGTTTCTTGTGGAATAAATAATCTTTTAAAAAAAATTTATGTCTTGATTTAATTAAAAATAAATACCTTAAATATATAAAGTTAATACTAAGTTTTTTCTTAATTTAATTAGGCATATACTATTGTTATTTTTAACTTTGCTAATGATAAGGATTAATGAAAATAACTTGATTAGTATCAGCTTGGATTTCGGTGCTCATCGTAATAATGACGACGAAATTGGAATGGTCTGATTTGACCTGTCTTAATTTAAAATTTTCAATTAAACTTTTGTAAAAAAAAGTATTTTTATATAAAAATATTAATTATTTTTATTTTAGAATCTGTACTTATTAAAATAAAAATTTATTAAAAGTATAAAAATAAATTGAGACTAAATCTGGACCAACCAGATTTGATCTGATCTAAACATTACAAATTTGGTGCTCATTAATGAAAGTTTAAGTTGGGGAGCACCAAATTTTTAATAAATTGTTATTTTAATAAATAAAAAATCTAAGCCTAAAATAAAGATAATTTTTCAATCGCCAATTTATTAAAAAAAATTAATAAAATATGCCAGACTCCAGATGACACCATAGTGGTCAGCACCCACCCAATCAAAGACAACATAATTAAGGAGATGGATCATTAATGTCAGTAATGGTCGCCGTTCAATAAATCTGACCATGTGATGGAAGTCAGACGCCTTCTAGAATTCAGAAAACCAAAATCCGCAATTTCTGACCGCTTTAATTACATGAACTCTACTCTTCTCCGTTCAAGTCTAAAAGCTACAACTCAGAAATACGACTAATCTAGTAAACACCCTCACCCACACACACAACATCTAACCACCTCAGCTTGCTGGTGCCTATAAAGCGCACCATATCTTGTGCCATATATCAACATTATCGTTCACTACTAGCTAAGCAAAATCAAGCTACATCCACACCTTAGTCTTCTTCTAAACCTCAAAGTATAAAGATTTGATATCAGTATCATGGGTGTTTTTACTTTCTCCGAAGAGAACATCTCCGCTGTTGCCCCTGCCACGCTCTACAAGGCTCTCGTCTTTGATGGTGACAACCTCATCCCTAAAGTTGTCGACGCCGTCCAGAGCGTCGACATCCTCGAAGGAACCGGTGGCCCTGGAACCATCAAGAAGATCAATTACCTCGAAGGTCCATTTCTTTAATCAATTTGAATCAGTCTATCAATCTTTGGCTCTAATAGAGTTTACTGACATATTAGTAACGTTGCGTCTATGTATGCAGGAGGACAGTTGCACTACGCAAAGCACAAGGTGGAAGCGGTGGACAAAGACAACTTCGTATACAACTATACCTTAGTGGAGAGCGACACTTTCCCTGAGACATTGGACAAGATCGCCGTTGAGACCAAGTTGGCAGCAGCTCCTAACGGTGGCTCCGTCGTTAAGGTGACGGTTAATTACGTGACAAAGGGAGACGTGAAGCCCAGCGAAGAAGAGCTCAAGATTGGGAAGCAGAAGGGAGATGGACTCTTCAAGGCCGTTGAGGCTTACCTCTTGGCCAATCCCTCTTACAACTGAATTCTCAGACATTAATATCAAGATAATAAAATTGAGGTGCCTATAATTCGACACCTTAATTAACAAGTGCTCTTAAGCATAGAACCAAAAATCAAGTCAATCTGGTTCATGAAACTGGTATAATTATTGAACCAGCAGTATCTTCACTGGTTCTACAAAATGTTTTGTTCATGTCAATTTTACTATGGTTTGACTATGATCAGTTCAATGATCAACCTGAATTTTAGTAACACGCTGCAAATAATAAGTCTGTGGGATCCCCAAACAGTTGATAAAATGTTGATGAGCTTATTAAGGTTTTTAATTTCTATCAAATCTTTGAGGGGGTAATTTGTGTATGTTTCCTTCAATTTCTTAAGGAATAAGATTATGTTTTGGAATTTTCTGATGCTGTCGTTATAACGAGAGCTGATATTTCGTAAAGTGCGGCTTTTATTTTTTGGTTGATTTTTCTTGTGTACAAGTTCACGTGTCAACATATGATCCAATACATTCTTCGCCTATTCTTTTTCTCCTTAACAACTCACAACAGACAGTGAAACCTTAAATTACTACTCATAACAGACAGTGACATATAATTAGACAATTAATGAACAAAGATTATCACGTTAATTAAAATGTATGCGCTTGCCACTACTGATAAAAATATACAATATCCACACCACTAATTATAAGAGTTAGAAGGATTTCCCTTCTTTTTTATTTTTTAATGTATACAGAAGATTCATAAACTTCCATATGAAAATTAAAATAGATTAAGTATGAAAACTTCCAAATGGAGGGCTAATTTTATATATATATATATATATATATATCATAAAATCTTTCAGGCCTACCACTCACGTTGGTGGATGGAAAAGAAAAGTATTTTTATTTTTATTTTTATTTATTGCTTAATTCTAACTATTTTCTTTTATCATTATTTTGTATTCAAAACACAAAGGATACTTTGCCAATTATAAAACCATTGGAGTGAACTCTGCTTTTGGAAAGTAAGTGGAATTTCATTTTCATGTTTGGCTTTGCCCAACCTCTGTTTCATTCTCTGAGGGCTCCTCTGTTCTTGAACTGGATTGGGACCGGGATGTATATCCAAAAACGTAAATGCAATAGGCAGCATATTTTTAGCAACCGAGGATACAGCTTGAATAGAATTTCTGCCTGTTTATCTTTTTTTCTCAGTTCATTCTTGTATTGTTGAACCTGTGGCTTTTATCCGCCAAGTTTTGATTCACTGGATTTCCTACATGGTGGCTAATAATTAGTATCAAGAGATGTCTTGGACTTAATGAACAAGCCTCTGATAGTAGAACAATTTCTGGTAAGGTTTACTGTTTTTGTGTTGATGGTGTTGATAAGCATAAGACTCACTCTGCTGGCATTGGTTTTATTGTGGTTAATCACATTGGTATTAGTCTGGTTTGTGCAGACAATTTCTCTGATCCTGTCAACCCCTTTTTTGGGTAAGGTTGTGGCATTTATTGAGGGCATTCCGTGGTGTTTGAACAACAATATTTCTAATGTCATCTCTGAGTTTTTTTGCTTTCCATTAGTGCATACACTGATGATGGAGTCTTTCATTAATCTTGGAAGATCGATGAGCTCTTGCAGCTTCCTATGCGTCCCAAGACTTGCTAGTGTTGCTGCTGGCTGGATTGCTTGTGCAGTTTTTATAGAGAAGTGCTTTAACGAGTGGGTGTTACAACCCCCTTTCCAAGCAGTGTTCTTCCTAGCTTCGGATTGTGTTGATGCAAGGATTTTAGGGACTTAGGACTTACTTCCTCTGTTTAAAAATGTAAAATAATTTTAATTAAATCTCACCCCTCAATAAAATAGTTATCTACTTTTAAACTAACCTTATCTTTTCATATTTATCACTATTAAACATATTATAATAAATATAAAAGCATTCATCAATAGGAGCACATTTAAAAAAAAAAGACAATGATTACATCTTAAAAAATTAAAATTTTTTTATATTTTTAAATATACAATTCTTCAAAAAAGGCATTATATTTTTGAACGAAGGGAGATTTTATTTTCAGTCTTTAAATTTTTTTTAAAAGAAAAAAATTAGAAATCTGTTTGAATAAGTGTTCTCAATTAAATCATTTCTAAAATTATTTTTTTAAAAAAAAGTAGAAACAATATCAAGTTGTTTTCATTTTTTTTTGGCTATCAAAATACAATACATTTGATTATTAAAAATTACAATCACATTGCATAATTTTTATCATAAATCATCATCATTAATCACTTATAATACATTATCAACTTATTTTTTTCATCCTAAAATTGTTTTTAAATTAAGATAGTGAAACAAATCTTTATGGTATTTTGTTTTGAAATATAATTTTAAAAACTATATTATAAAACAGCTTTTAAAAATAAAAATAAAAATAAAAATAGAAACCCAACAGGCGCTTAGGGCCTGTTTGTTCAGTTTTTGAAAATAAAAAATTTTAAAACTTGTTTGAATAATTATTTTTTATTTAATTTTTTAAAAAATTATTTTAGTTTTTCAAAAATAAAAAAATAGAAACAACTTTAAATTATTTTTTATTTTTAAAATATAATACATTTTATTATTAAAAATTATGGTTACTTTAATTAATTTTTATTATTAATCATCAATATTAACTGCTTATAAACATCACTATCAATGTATTTTTTTAATTTAAAATTTTTTTTAATTGACATAACCAAACAGTTTTTAATTTTATTTTGTTTTAAAAAATAAATTTTAAAATTATATTACAAAACAGTTTTTAAAAATAAAAAATAAAAACCAAACAAGCCCTTAATCTTTGTTTTCCTGTTTATGTGTGCTTTTTCCTTTTGTTTGGTTGGTTTCAGCTGTCGAACTCTATTACTTTGCTAGCAATATATTTCTCGTTTTCCTGGGGTAAAAAATGAACTCTGTGCTTTTACCCAAAAACAAAAACAAAAACAAAAGAAATTAGTTGCATCAATCTTAGTTTGGTCGTCAATTTAATTACAATGAATTCAGCGCCTTGTCTTTATCTATATGCAGCGAAAATCATAGAATAACTTCAAATCAGGTTATTATTAAAAGTTTTGTGGCCAGCGGAAAAATTGTATTTTATGTCAACGTATATATATTTTTTGATACTCAAAGGAAACAAATGTCTACGTGTCTATATATATATATATATATATATCTATAATCATGGATGTTTTGTCGATTTCAAGTTTCAACTATCCTTATAGAATAACTAGAAAAGTGAAATTCTCAATTTCAAACGATCTTAGAAAAATCAATAATGTGCAATAAATTGTATGCGTTGAATTTATGAACGTGAGTATCAATTTTCTCTGGACAAAAAAAAGGGAATAGAAATTTTAAATATTCAAAGTTTATAAAAATAATTATTTAAGATAATCCCGACTGTCCGGCCATCACAATTTTGTGATGTTGAAAAAAAAACCTAATAAAATTAAAGTAAAACTTTATGATACAAGATTAAGAAATTGGAAAAAAATTGAAGAATAAAAATAAGAAAGTTATATATAAACTTTATGTGAATTCTTTATATATATATATATATAATTACCCGGTATCCTAAAAAACGTTAGAGTAGTGGTTCCACCTTTCCTTCAAACTATTCTAAGCCTCCACTGTGGGAATTATTACTGAATTCTAAAAAAAGTGGTAATATATTATATTCCTTTCATTAAAAAATATAGATTATTTTTAATCAAATTTCACCTCTTAATAAAATAGTTACCTACTTTAAAATTAACTTTATGTTTTTATATTTATCCTTATTAAACATCCTATAATAAATATAAAGTTATTATCAATAGAAATATTTTTGGTAAAAAAAATGATTACACCTCAAAAGATTAAAAATGTTTTATATTTTTTAACATTTAACTCTTTAAAAAATATTTTATATTTTTAAACAAAAGGAGTATATAAATATCCAAACAGCAACTTACATAGAGATATATAATGTGATAGAGAATGAGAAATGAGTCTCTTCATTTCTTTTCCTCCACTTCCCTTCACTTCCTCCATCCTCACCATTTAAATTATTTTATTAAATAATTTTTTAAAATAATAAAATTAATAAATGGTAAGGGTGGAGGTAAGTAAAGGAAATAAAATGAAGAAACTATCTTTTTCATAGAGAACAAGTTGAGGATTTTTTTTTTTTTGCCAACAAGTTGAAGAATTGAAGACATGTGGATGTGAAAACAAAAGGCTTAGGTGGGTAGGTGTCAATCTTGACGTTGAGGTCCACTGCCCTTTAATTTCTTCTCTGTACATTTCCCACATCATCGTCTTCATCGATTCTGAACAAGTCCACACGTCCTAGCTCTATGTTACATTAATTATATATTCCCCAATTTCTTTATTATTTTATACTTACGATAATTTATCAAATCGACAGAGTTTGCCTCAGCATTCCGTTTGATTTGATTAACTTACAATTAAGTGACAACAATTCATCAGACGAAGTATATATAAATATAAATAAATTAGTTGGTTATGTGCGTTAGTTTACCTCTTTTTTATGTAGTTATATTTATATATATATATATATATATATGACCTAGTCATATCCGAGCATTGTTGGTTCTAATTAATAGTAGCTCTTTGAAACATCATGTTTGAGCGATAATGATCCTTGCTATTAAAAGTCACGCTGGTTGGTTGTGTATTAGTTTATATCAATTGCCTTGTTTGGGGGGGGGGGGGGGAAGGTAAAGTAAAGTAAAGTGAATGAAATGATGTTACTTATGGGCTAATTAAACCACAATTTCAAATTTAAGGCTGAGGATCAGTTACTTTTTCTATTTTTATATATAAGATATTTTTATTCAAATTATACAAATTAATAAAATTTAATTACTTAATTAGAATCATAATAACATTTTAATTTTTCTCTAATTATTATAAATAAAAAATAAAGCTATTCTTTCAATATAAATTAATGAGAATATTTATTTTTTTTAATTTGATAAGAATATAATAATCTATTTATTAAAAATATACTAACAATTTCTTATATTTAAAAATAAAAAAATTTTAAAAAAACTTCTTACATATAAGAACAAAGGAAGTATTATTTAGTATATAAAATTGACTTGATTATGTTTTTTCACTACGAAAACTTGACTGCCCAATAATCTAAAAAATTCACTCATTCATCATGGGTATAATTATTGAATCAGCAGTATCTTCACTGGTTCTACAAAATGTTTTGTTCATGTCAATTTTACTATGGTTTGACTATGATCAGTTCAATGATCAACCTGAATTTTAGTAACACGCTGCAAATAATAAGTCTGTGGGATCCCCAAACAGTTGATAAAATGTTGATGAGCTTATTAAGGTTTTTAATTTCTATCAAATCTTTGAGGGGGTAATTTGTGTATGTTTCCTTCAATTTCTTAAGGAATAAGATTATGTTTTGGAATTTTCTGATGCTGTCGTTATAACGAGAGCTGATATTTCGTAAAGTGCGGCTTTTATTTTTTGGTTGATTTTTCTTGTGTACAAGTTCACGTGTCAACATATGATCCAATACATTCTTCGCCTATTCTTTTTCTCCTTAACAACTCACAACAGACAGTGAAACCTTAAATTACTACTCATAACAGACAGTGACATATAATTAGACAATTAATGAACAAAGATTATCACGTTAATTAAAATGTATGCGCTTGCCACTACTGATAAAAATATACAATATCCACACCACTAATTATAAGAGTTAGAAGGATTTCCCTTCTTTTTTATTTTTTAATGTATACAGAAGATTCATAAACTTCCATATGAAAATTAAAATAGATTAAGTATGAAAACTTCCAAATGGAGGGCTAATTTTATATATATATATATATATATATATATATCATAAAATCTTTCAGGCCTACCACTCACGTTGGTGGATGGAAAAGAAAAGTATTTTTATTTTTATTTTTATTTATTGCTTAATTCTAACTATTTTCTTTTATCATTATTTTGTATTCAAAACACAAAGGATACTTTGCCAATTATAAAACCATTGGAGTGAACTCTGCTTTTGGAAAGTAAGTGGAATTTCATTTTCATGTTTGGCTTTGCCCAACCTCTGTTTCATTCTCTGAGGGCTCCTCTGTTCTTGAACTGGATTGGGACCGGGATGTATATCCAAAAACGTAAATGCAATAGGCAGCATATTTTTAGCAACCGAGGATACAGCTTGAATAGAATTTCTGCCTGTTTATCTTTTTTTCTCAGTTCATTCTTGTATTGTTGAACCTGTGGCTTTTATCCGCCAAGTTTTGATTCACTGGATTTCCTACATGGTGGCTAATAATTAGTATCAAGAGATGTCTTGGACTTAATGAACAAGCCTCTGATAGTAGAACAATTTCTGGTAAGGTTTACTGTTTTTGTGTTGATGGTGTTGATAAGCATAAGACTCACTCTGCTGGCATTGGTTTTATTGTGGTTAATCACATTGGTATTAGTCTGGTTTGTGCAGACAATTTCTCTGATCCTGTCAACCCCTTTTTTGGGTAAGGTTGTGGCATTTATTGAGGGCATTCCGTGGTGTTTGAACAACAATATTTCTAATGTCATCTCTGAGTTTTTTTGCTTTCCATTAGTGCATACACTGATGATGGAGTCTTTCATTAATCTTGGAAGATCGATGAGCTCTTGCAGCTTCCTATGCGTCCCAAGACTTGCTAGTGTTGCTGCTGGCTGGATTGCTTGTGCAGTTTTTATAGAGAAGTGCTTTAACGAGTGGGTGTTACAACCCCCTTTCCAAGCAGTGTTCTTCCTAGCTTCGGATTGTGTTGATGCAAGGATTTTAGGGACTTAGGACTTACTTCCTCTGTTTAAAAATGTAAAATAATTTTAATTAAATCTCACCCCTCAATAAAATAGTTATCTACTTTTAAACTAACCTTATCTTTTCATATTTATCACTATTAAACATATTATAATAAATATAAAAGCATTCATCAATAGGAGCACATTTAAAAAAAAAAGACAATGATTACATCTTAAAAAATTAAAATTTTTTTATATTTTTAAATATACAATTCTTCAAAAAAGGCATTATATTTTTGAACGAAGGGAGATTTTATTTTCAGTCTTTAAATTTTTTTTAAAAGAAAAAAATTAGAAATCTGTTTGAATAAGTGTTCTCAATTAAATCATTTCTAAAATTATTTTTTTAAAAAAAAGTAGAAACAATATCAAGTTGTTTTCATTTTTTTTTGGCTATCAAAATACAATACATTTGATTATTAAAAATTACAATCACATTGCATAATTTTTATCATAAATCATCATCATTAATCACTTATAATACATTATCAACTTATTTTTTTCATCCTAAAATTGTTTTTAAATTAAGATAGTGAAACAAATCTTTATGGTATTTTGTTTTGAAATATAATTTTAAAAACTATATTATAAAACAGCTTTTAAAAATAAAAATAAAAATAAAAATAGAAACCCAACAGGCGCTTAGGGCCTGTTTGTTCAGTTTTTGAAAATAAAAAATTTTAAAACTTGTTTGAATAATTATTTTTTATTTAATTTTTTAAAAAATTATTTTAGTTTTTCAAAAATAAAAAAATAGAAACAACTTTAAATTATTTTTATTTTTAAAATATAATACATTTTATTATTAAAAATTATGGTTACTTTAATTAATTTTTATTATTAATCATCAATATTAACTGCTTATAAACATCACTATCAATGTATTTTTTAATTTAAAATTTTTTTTAATTGACATAACCAAACAGTTTTTAATTTTATTTTGTTTTAAAAAATAAATTTTAAAATTATATTACAAAACAGTTTTTAAAAATAAAAAATAAAAACCAAACAAGCCCTTAATCTTTGTTTTCCTGTTTATGTGTGCTTTTTCCTTTTGTTTGGTTGGTTTCAGCTGTCGAACTCTATTACTTTGCTAGCAATATATTTCTCGTTTTCCTGGGGTAAAAAATGAACTCTGTGCTTTTACCCAAAAACAAAAACAAAAACAAAAGAAATTAGTTGCATCAATCTTAGTTTGGTCGTCAATTTAATTACAATGAATTCAGCGCCTTGTCTTTATCTATATGCAGCGAAAATCATAGAATAACTTCAAATCAGGTTATTATTAAAAGTTTTGTGGCCAGCGGAAAAATTGTATTTTATGTCAACGTATATATATTTTTTGATACTCAAAGGAAACAAATGTCTACGTGTCTATATATATATATATATATATATATCTATAATCATGGATGTTTTGTCGATTTCAAGTTTCAACTATCCTTATAGAATAACTAGAAAAGTGAAATTCTCAATTTCAAACGATCTTAGAAAAATCAATAATGTGCAATAAATTGTATGCGTTGAATTTATGAACGTGAGTATCAATTTTCTCTGGACAAAAAAAAGGGAATAGAAATTTTAAATATTCAAAGTTTATAAAAATAATTATTTAAGATAATCCCGACTGTCCGGCCATCACAATTTTGTGATGTTGAAAAAAAAACCTAATAAAATTAAAGTAAAACTTTATGATACAAGATTAAGAAATTGGAAAAAAATTGAAGAATAAAAATAAGAAAGTTATATATAAACTTTATGTGAATTCTTTATATATATATATATATAATTACCCGGTATCCTAAAAAACGTTAGAGTAGTGGTTCCACCTTTCCTTCAAACTATTCTAAGCCTCCACTGTGGGAATTATTACTGAATTCTAAAAAAAGTGGTAATATATTATATTCCTTTCATTAAAAAATATAGATTATTTTTAATCAAATTTCACCTCTTAATAAAATAGTTACCTACTTTAAAATTAACTTTATGTTTTTATATTTATCCTTATTAAACATCCTATAATAAATATAAAGTTATTATCAATAGAAATATTTTGGTAAAAAAAATGATTACACCTCAAAAGATTAAAAATGTTTTATATTTTTTAACATTTAACTCTTTAAAAAATATTTTATATTTTTAAACAAAGGAGTATATAAATATCCAAACAGCAACTTACATAGAGATATATAATGTGATAGAGAATGAGAAATGAGTCTCTTCATTTCTTTTCCTCCACTTCCCTTCACTTCCTCCATCCTCACCATTTAAATTATTTTATTAAATAATTTTTTAAAATAATAAAATTAATAAATGGTAAGGGTGGAGGTAAGTAAAGGAAATAAAATAAAAGAAGAAACTATCTTTTTCATAGAGAACAAGTTGAGGATTTTTTTTTTTTTGCCAACAAGTTGAAGAATTGAAGACATGTGGATGTGAAAACAAAAGGCTTAGGTGGGTAGGTGTCAATCTTGACGTTGAGGTCCACTGCCCTTTAATTTCTTCTCTGTACATTTCCCACATCATCGTCTTCATCGATTCTGAACAAGTCCACACGTCCTAGCTCTATGTTACATTAATTATATATTCCCCAATTTCTTTATTATTTTATACTTACGATAATTTATCAAATCGACAGAGTTTGCCTCAGCATTCCGTTGATTTGATTAACTTACAATTAAGTGACAACAATTCATCAGACGAAGTATATATAAATATAAATAAATTAGTTGGTTATGTGCGTTAGTTTACCTCTTTTTTATGTAGTTATATTATATATATATATATATATATATGACCTAGTCATATCCGAGCATTGTTGGTTCTAATTAATAGTAGCTCTTTGAAACATCATGTTTGAGCGATAATGATCCTTGCTATTAAAAGTCACGCTGGTTGGTTGTGTATTAGTTTATATCAATTGCCTTGTTTGGGGGGGGGGGGGGGGGGGAAGGTAAAGTAAAGTAAAGTGAATGAAATGATGTTACTTATGGGCTAATTAAACCACAATTTCAAATTTAAGGCTGAGGATCAGTTACTTTTTCTATTTTTATATATAAGATATTTTTATTCAAATTATACAAATTAATAAAATTTAATTACTTAATTAGAATCATAATAACATTTTAATTTTTCTCTAATTATTATAAATAAAAAATAAAGCTATTCTTTCAATATAAATTAATGAGAATATTTATTTTTTTTAATTTGATAAGAATATAATAATCTATTTATTAAAAATATACTAACAATTTCTTATATTTAAAAATAAAAAAATTTTAAAAAAACTTCTTACATATAAGAACAAAGGAAGTATTATTTAGTATATAAAATTGACTTGATTATGTTTTTTCACTACGAAAACTTGACTGCCCAATAATCTAAAAAATTCACTCATTCATCATGGGATTAGATGACATAACGATAATATAATTTATATAGACATATACTCCGTCCAATTTTATGTATAAGTAACTTTTAAATATTTTATTCAAATTAAGGAGAGATAATTAAATGATTAATGTTATATAAAAATATTCTAATTTATTTTTATTAAATATATCTTCTTTAAAAGCATGCTTACGCATGTAATCCCTCTCCCATTTATAAAAAAGTTACAAAAGGATAAAATTATACTCTATTTCTTTTAATATTTAAAGTCAATATTGCTTAATTGACAGGAAACGAACTAGTACGTGTGTTATTGGCGCGCGCGCGCGCGCGCGCGTGTTCTGGTTAATTATTATTAAATTTGCGAGAGTTCAATGTCCAGCGCTAAAGTTATTTAACTTCACTTGTCACGTTCACTTTATATGTATTAATAAAGTTGGGAAAAGGACAAAGAATAAAATAAAAAAACTTAATTAGACTATTAATAACGATGTTGAATTTATAAGGGTCGCTATATATAAATTATTTCATCTACAGTTAGCATAAAAAGAAGATGAGTTGGCACTAATATACTCCTTCCGTTTTAAATTATAAGATACTTTTAAACAGAATTTCACATGTCAATAAATCTCATTAAATATACTTAACAATCTTATTTTTTTCAAAATAAAAATATAAATTTTTTAAAATATTCATTATTTAATATATTGAAAATAAAATTGATGAAAATTAATTATAAAGGGAAAAAAGATAATATTAAAATTGATGTATTTAATGCAACCTTAATCTATTTAAAATGTCTCACATTTTAGAACAGAAAATTTTTTTTAAAAATGCTCTATAATTTAGGACGGTAGAAATAATATAAAAAGAATGATAACTAAATATTTTTAACATAAATAATAATAATAATAAATTAATTTCATAAATTGTAATATTACATTACAAGTTACAAAAAATTTAAGTATCATTAAAGTTTTTAATGAAATGATAAAAATATTCTTAATTTATAATTTTCCCTATACCTCCCTCTTCCTTGACTTCATCTCTGTCTTCTTCACTTCTCCATTTCCGGCGTCGAAGTCCCAATCGAGTTTCATGCCCAGTGACAAGAGTATTTGTGGGGTAATCGAAGCTCTGCCATAGGTACTCTGAGGGGTCGTTCTGGCCGATGCATACTGATTCTGCTTCTCGAGGATTCTTTCTATAGGATGTAAAATAGATGGAGCTGATCCAGGAATCGGGGGTAGCCCTGGATCGACATAGGAATCATCAAGGAGATCAAATGGATTGCGTCTTGTTACAATTGGTGGGAACATTGGAGGGAACTTGAGTACTTTCCAAGTCTATTAGATTCTTCTCAGTCATCTACCTCCAAGCTCTTCTCCTTGCTATGATATTATCCTAACGTTGGTTTCTTTCTAGCTCTGAAGAACCCAAATCCATGAGATTCTTTTCGTCGTCCTCCATCTACCTAATTGCTGATTTACTCTCATCCTCTATGCTACTTTCTTCCGCTTCTTCTTCCTCGTAATCTAGTATTTCAGTGCTTTCATCTGATTCTCATCGCTTTTCAGCGACTTCTCATATTCAATGCCAGAACCGCACGGGACGAATGAGCAGTTTGC